TAATTATAACAAAGAGCAGATGTTGTAAGGAAGAGGTTACTTTGATTTTGCAGTGGGAGGGGTTTGACTATTTGGCTTTTTGGGAAGAGAAGGTTGCTGTTGGATTTTTGGAAAGTGTATTTTATTAACAGAAAAACCCTAGTTGTAACTATTTACCTTTTTTTGTCACATATGGTAACAATGTTATCAGGCTCGCTTACACCCTTTGCATCTGTTAGGAAGAAGTTTTCAATTTGAGTATTTAATTTTCATTAATATTAACTGGAATGGGGCAACGAGTGTCCTCCAGGCTGTTCAGCCTTTGTCAGAAGGTGGGCATGCTTGCTGTCCTGCAGGAAGACACTGAAACGAGAGCCGTAATACCGTCAGTTTGTACTGTGCCTCTGAATACAGATGAGAATGTCCTTCCTTAAGAGCTTTTCTTTGCTGGGGCTTCCTTTCTTCGTTGGCTGTTTGAAAACGGCAGTTTTTCTTTTGGAACTCGACACATAACACACACTGCCAAAGTCCAGAGGAAGCGTGGTTATTCTTAACGTGCACAGAGGTGATCAGAGGCTCAGACTGGGGTCAAAAGGCTCAAGTTGGTGAAGGAGGGATGAGAGTATGCATCAAATGCCCCTGACCAGCCAGCATCTGGCTGCTGGCCACTCCCTCCCCGGCAAGCCGCCACTCCCTCCCAGGCAAGCCCTTCCTATTTTTTCTGCCTCCTGCAATCAAAGCTTCCCCCATCCCCGCATCTGTTTGTCTCCCCAGACTCCCCTGCTCCATACCCTTTTCTGCTTAGCGTCCTCACTTGGCTCTCAGGCTCTGGAGTGGCCGCTGAGCTGGCGTAAGGAGCTGCCAAATTAGAGCGCGCAGGAGAGTGTGGCCGCTGAGCCAGCCGTCTGCTGTTGCCTCTGGCTGCCCTGCCCAGCTCCACGTGGTACCTTCCAGCTGGAGCGCCGCCCTCAACGCGTGTTGGAGGAGCAGCGCTGCGAGCATGCTGCAGGTCCTGACGGCATCCACGGCTGCCCCGGCACTGGGTAGCAAGGCCTGGGCGGTGGTTGGGCGCACAGTTGGGAGCGCTCCACCCTGCCAGCGTGGTGGTTATTCTGCAGTCTGGCGGGAGGAGGGCACAGACTCCAGGCTCCTCAGAGCAGCGTGCTTGCCGCAACCTTTGCTCTCAGGGCGGCGTCCAGCTGAGCCGCTGGGTACAAGCAGGGAGAGGGAGGACGGCCGCCTCTGCCACCCCAGGGTGTCGGAATGAGCTCCAGAACTGGGTTGCTTGGGGTTGGAGCTCAGGTCCCTGTAGGGAGTCGGTTTTATGAGGCATGCCACTGCTGGCTATTTTGGGTTGGCTAAATGAAGCAGCCTGCATCTTAGAGCTCAGCTTTTGCAGGTCCCCTTTTTTGAGGTAACCAGGGAATCTGACGTGATTCTGGGCAGCTGGCTGGTTC